ACCCTCAGCAGCACCAGAGTCACCAGTAACCTCGACAGGCTCGACTGCGTCTACCTGGGACACACCTGAAGGGGCAGGACCCTGAGGGGGGAGGGGGTCTACCGGGGGGGGACCTGGTACAAGGAAGAGCGGTGGCGGGGGGAGGGACGGAGTGCGGTAGGGGAAGAGGCGGTAGTAGGGGACCGACTCGTCAAACGTGACGTCCTGGGAGGACAGAACACGGCGAGAGGTGGGGTGGTAGAACTGCCACCCTGGCGCGTCAGGGGGGAAGCCAAGGAAGACGCAAGGAGCAGCACGAGGGGACAGCTTGTCCGCAGACAAGTCGCGGACAAACGCCCGAGATCCCCAGACACGGAACGCAGACGCATCGCCAACCTTCCCCGTCCACAGCAAGGCTGGGGAGGTCTCCGGCATGGAGACCCTGGGGTGAAGGTTGATCTGATGCGCCGCGTACCGAACCGCAAACGGCCACAGAAAATGGGGGGCAGCCGCATGCATCATGGACGTACGGGCGACGTCCATGACCATGCCAATGCGGCGCTCAGCAATCCCATTTTGCTGTGGAGAGTCCGGAAGCGTGAAGGTCTGGCGGATGCCTCGTGCACGACAGTAGGCTCGCAGAAGGCCAGAGGAGAACTCTCCACCTCTGTCAGAGTGCAGACGCAGAACAGGAAAGTCCGAGCCGAAGCTCTGCCTGAGCTGGAGACGAGCTGCGCGGATCCAGTCGATCAACACCGCAGTGACATCACCCTTGCTGCGCAAGGGGAAGACTGTGGTGTAACGCGAGTAGTCGTCAACCACCAGCAGGAAGTAGCGCTCGTGACCCTGTCCACGGACGCGGGTCGGGCCCCACACGTCCATGTGAAGCGTCTGCAGCGGGGCCTCTGTCGGAGGAAACTGGGAGGAGTGAGGGGCAGCCCGCTGCCGCCCCTCGACACAGGTAGGGCCAGGCCCCGGAGGAAGGGGAGGGAGGGACCGGGGAAGACCAGAGACAAGGACACGGGAGGCCATGCCTCGGAGACGAAGCAGGGAGGGGTGACCAAGGCGGTGGTGCCAGAGGAGAGTCTCGTGAGACAGGAGGCGACACGAACAGGGGGCAGACTCAGGACCAGACCTGGACGCTGCAGCAAACACCTGACCCGACGCAGCTACCTGACCAGACGCAGTGGTCAGGGTGTACAGGCTCGACCCCGGCCGACGGGTAAACGTGGCCAGGTGTCGGCCAGTCCGAGCGTCCGTGCAGTGGGTCACCCGCTGACTCGCAGGAGTGAACTGGTGAACCCCCGCATCCTGTAGGTCAGCACCACTCACCAAGTTCGTAGAGAACGAGGGGAGGTAAAGACCAGACAGGGTGCCAGAGGGGGCCGCCGGACATGGGAGGACAGTGGAGAAGTGAGCAAGGACAGGACCCCCAGAGGGGTCTGCCAGAGAGACCGCAACTGGCCGGCCAAGCGGCGTGAGTGTGGTGCGGTCTCGAAAGAAGGAGCGAGAAGCCCCCGAGTCAAGGGTGAAGGTGTGGGAGGGCGAAGCCGACGCAGAACCTGAGAGAGCAGACTCACCAGCACCTGAGGGAGCAGACGCACCTAGAGCAGCAGCCTCGCTAGCACCTAGAGCAGCAGCCTCACCAGTACCTAGAGCAGCAGTCTCAATGCCCGGGTCGGGCGGAAAACACCGGTAACAGTCACCCTCATCACTAATAGTCACAGTATACATGGCAGCAAGAATAGCATCAAAGTCAAGGTCAAAGACAGCGACACCCGCCCTAGACAGCTCACCCCAGCGGGGGATCTCAGTGGCCTCAGGGAACTGGTGACGCCAAGCGTCCGTCAGGCGGCCAAAGCAGCGCTGGGTGGAGTGCGCACCCCCGCACTGGTCACCCGCGCGGTCGCCGGTGCGTAGGACGTAGGTGCACGGACCAGTACCCCCACCCCGCTGGCGTGCAGCGTACCACTCACGGAACTGCTGAGGAGGGGGGATGTCACGAGTGCGCTGCTGCTGCTGCTGCTGCTGGCGCTGACCACCACCGGAGCCGACCCTCTGCGCAGCGCCACCCCGACCAGCTCCACCTCCTCCGCCGCCGCCTCCTCCACCGCCGCCACCTCCGCTCCCACCGCCACCGCCGCCGCCGCCTCCGCCTCCACCGCCGCCACCGACACCTCCACCCCCACCACCACCCCCACCGCCACCCCCACCCCCTCCACTGCCTCCACCGCCGCCTCCACCGCCCCTGCTAGCTCCTCCAGTGCCCCTGCCCCCTTTGCCCTTGCCAGGGCGGCGTCTCCCGCTAGGGGTAGACGCCGCACCGACCGACTCAAGCCCAACGAGGTCGGCCGCAGCAGCAGAGGCAACAGAGGGCAAAAGGGGGGAGGGGGAACACCCCTCAAAGATGGGGGTGCGAGGGTCACCACGAGAGGCTCCTACAGCTACTATGCTCTTCTCTGCTGCTAGGAGGGACTTCTCGAGGAGGTCAACGGTGAGAGTGGTGGGGCAAACTGAGAGGAAGTGGTCCCTGACTACGCGAAGGGAGTCAGGGAGTCGGGTGACTATGTAGTAGAGGGTGATGTACATGGGGGGGGGGGTTCTTGGCGCAGAACTCAGCAGGAAGCGCAGCGCGGTAGCGAGTGTCACTAGTGCGGAGGTGCGTAATGAGGTCAGCGACTGTGGGAAAGGCAGCAAGGTCAGGGAAGAGGTACGGTAGCATGAGGCGGCTCAGTGCAGCAGTGGCAGGGGAGGAGTAGCGCGCAACTACAGCGTCGTACAAGGTGTGAGCACTCTTGTACTGGCTAAAGTGCGCACGCTCAGAGGTAGGCAGGTGGCGACGCACAGCAAGACATGCAGCAGCATCGCGCGTGGCCCACTGTGAGCGAACAGTGGCGTCAGCATCAGCAGCGGGGGCAGGAGAGGCACCAGAAGTGAGGTCAAAGAGGGAGAGGCCGTCTGCTCTGTCGCACTGTAAGAAAAGCTGCAGGTCATCTATCCAGACGTCAAAGTCAATGGCCCGACCCTCAGCGTCAAAAGCGAGGACACTAGGGGTAGCCATGACAGCAGTAGACTAGCAGCGCAAACAGTAGGGTGAGGGCAGTGCTGTGAAAGAGGCGCTGCTCTTACCGGACAGGGCGGCTCGGGTGGTTCGGCTGCAGGGCGGCTCGGCGGCTCGGCTGCTGGGCGGCTCGGCGGCTCGGCTGCTGGGCGGCTCGGCGGCTCGGCTGTTGGGCGGCTCGGCGGCTCGGCGGCTCGGCTTCTGGGCGGCTCGGCTGCTGGGCGGCTCGGCTGCTGGGCGGCTCGGCGGGGCCGCTGAGAGGGCGGCGTCCGGGGCCGCTGGGAGGAGGCGGCGGGGCCGCTGAGAGGAGGCGGCGGGGCCGCAAAGGTAGGTGGCGGGGCCGCAGGTAGGTGGCGGGGCCGCTAGTAGGTGGCGAGGCCGCAGGTAGGTGGCGGGGCCGCTGGTAGGTGGCGGGGCCGCAGGTAGGTGGCGGGGCCGCAGGTAGGTGGCGGGGCTGTTGGTAGGTGGCGGGGCCGCAGGTAGGTGGCGGGGCCGCTGGTAGGTGGCGGGGCCGCAGGTAGGTGGCGGGGCCAGCAGGAAGGTGGCGGGGCCGTACAGGTAGGTGGCGGGGCCGCGGGGAGGTGGCGGGGCCGCTGGTAGGTGGCGGGGCCGCAGGTAGGTGGCGGGGCCGCACAGGTAGGTGGCGGGGCCGCACAGGTAGGTGGCGGGGCCGCGGAGGGCGGCGACGAGCCGTAGGGGGCCGTGAGGGGCCGCGGGAGGGGCCGTAAGGGGCGTAAGGGGCCGCGCGAGGGGCCGTAAGGGACGGCGCGTCGGGCGCGACGGGCCGTAAGGGCGGCACGAAGGGCCGTAAGGGCGGCGCGAAGGGCCGTAGGGGCGGCGCGACGAGCCGTGAGAGGGCCGCTAAGGGCGACGCGACGGGGCCGTGAGGGGCCTAGCGAGGGCGCGACGGTAGGGAGAGCACACAGGGCGCGACTCGGGCCGGAGCGAAGCGCGCTCCGGGCAGGAAAAAAAAAAAATTTCGTGGTGGTGGGCCCTAGGAATCGTTCCCACTAGGGAACCTGCTCGATACCATGAGAAGAAACGAGGAATGGAATGACTAAGGGAAAGTTTGGTACAAATGCAAACCCTAGGAAAATTGTACCCCATATGTGCTACCCCACTATAGCCTACAGTAGCTATGTCATATAAATCTGACACACGTCACCTGCAGCGACACTCCAGAAGCGAAGGGGAGTGTTGGAAACAACTGATTTAAGCGCCTCTGCCGTGTCGAAACACCAAGACAGAAGCGAAGCAGATCGTATCGAAACAATCGGTGAGTCAACCCTCGGAGGTTGAACAACTGCTGGAGGTTACGCGAAAGTCAAAGGTCAGCGACCTTTGACCTGAGAAATACAGCGCGACAGCAAGGACAAACAACTGTCTCGATACTGAGCAGTTGCCCGAGTCGACACTGTATCGAACCGCAACAGCAACAGTAAAACAGTTATTAACTGTATCTCTTCATATTCCTTTGTATTCTTATAAAAGCTTGTATCTCTTTTGTTATTATTAACTTACTTTGCCCTCACATACCAGCGCAAGGTGGTTCAACGAGTCTTTATTAAACGCTTCCGCTACTACATCATCCCACTCTTGAATTCTGTCCTGCAAAGATCCTAAGGGCATTCTCAGCCCAACAGCAACAACATGCGGACAACGACTGCTACAGGGCAAATACAGCAACAAGCTAAAATCAGCAGCAGGAACAGATGTGTAGGAAATCTTCTCCTGATGCCTGAGGCCTACCAAAAGTGCATGACGGGCTGAGGGTAGAGGTTCATGTGATTGGAGCTGCCTGGCCTGGATCTATATCGTTTTGTAGTGATTTCTTAGTCTTAATATTTGAACAATACTTTCGAACTAACTAACAATCATCTTCAAATAATTCCAATCACATGACATTTTTCACAATCACTTGAGCAGGAACCAGGAGCAATGGGACTCAAGATCTCTTGATTTATTCGGAGCGTGCAGCGTATCTCTCCTTGATGTCAAAGGAGCAGTTAATCCCAACCATCGCCTCGCCCAGCCCACAGCTCACCTCTGCCACCACCTTGGGATCTGTGCGAGAGAGGAAAAAGAAGAGTGAGAAGGAAGTGAGTAAAACACCAATTCCTCCTACACCAAAGTTCATTGAAAGACCTTGGGACTAGAACCCTGGCCATCAAAGAACCCTCATTCACACAACTCATGCGTCTATCAGACGATATTATCTTGGGCTCACCTGTGTAATGGGTGACAGCTTGCACAATGGCACGGGCACGCTTGGCTGGGTCTCCGCTCTTGAAAATGCCCTGAGATGTGAAATGATGGAGGAGCGGTCGGAAAGGAAAAACCATAGGGACCAGGGTGAGAAAAGAGAGATTCAGGGCGCCTCAAACAGTTCGGTCTCCACACTGTCTCTAAGATAAAGATATGAATGGATTGAGAGGCCGGGAGGGACAAATCATACAGAATGGGGGTGAGGGAAAGAGGGCCACAACATGATGAGGCAGCCAAGTGGAACACCGAAAAAAGGCGAGCGAGAGAGGGAAAGGGAGCCAGGAGGGAATAGGAGGTGTGGGGGAGGGGGGGTGGAGGTGGAGCTGAGGGAATACGTAAGGGGGGCGAAATACCTTGTTGTGAATTCAATCTATGCTAGAGCGGAGGAACAGGACGCTCGAAATTGTTTGATTGAGGCAAATGCCAGCGGGAGGTTGAGGTGTTGGTAGCTGAGCGGCAATGACAGCTACAACAGAATGACTACGTAGTTGATAGTAACACTTGAGCGCCTCGACGTTTGGAAGGTGAGCTGCGATAGCAGCTACAAACAACAGTATCGCTTCGCAGCTAAGGGCAAATACCCTGCATGCTCTCACCACGCGTTCCGTTCCGTGACAGCTGTCAATGCCCATATGGCATGCAAACTTCACACTCTCTTGAGAAGTCTCAAAAGCAGCTACAACTTCAGTCAATGGCCGACCTTACGAGGCACGCGAACGCACCTCACCTGCAGGTGACGTACGTGGCGTGGGCAACACGTGGAACGAGCGACTAGAGGCATAGCTTACCGAGCGACTAGAGGCATAGCTTACCGAGCCCACGAACACGCCGTCGCATCCCAGCTGCATCATCATGGCGGCGTCCGCGGGCGTCGCGACGCCGCCCGCCGCAAAATTGACCACTGGCAGCCTCCCCAGCTCCCGCGTCTGCTTCACCAGGTCCAGCGGCGCGCGCAGCTACGCTCAACAGCGGGGCGGGTTGCACGTAGCGGAAGGGGCGGAGAGGGGGAGGGCGGAGGGCGGAGGGGAAAGGGGGGAGGGGGAAGGGGGGGAAGCGGGGAGGGGGGAGGGGTGAGGAGCGAAGGAGGAACGTGAGAGGCACAGAATGAGGAAGAGACAGAGAGACGATGCGAAGAGCGCTGAGACGCTGCCAGATGCGCGCCAGTTGAAAAGAACAATAAAGACGGGCAATGACAACAGTAAGGGGACCGGCAAACTGTTAGAGAAGGTTGTCAAGTGATGGCGGCGATAACTGGACTGACAGTAACCCGAACACTTATCAGCCGAGGTGTTGTACGTGGTAACATGTATGTGTCTTCCGGTGCATTCACGCACTCCCAGAAAGTACATTCGCCTTGACGTACCTCCATTCCTAAACGTAAACCAGATTCGTGATTCATTCATATAAGGTTCGAACAAAATACCCCGTGCTGAAGGGTTTAGGAAACAAAAGCCCACTTAAACTCTCTCACTTCCGCCCACGCACCCACACATACGTCAGGCACCATACAGAAACCTCACATGAGAGCTTTACACTTTATAGAGACACCTCAGAAGCCACCAACATACCTCCTTCGCAAAAACGTAAAGCTCATCCTCGTCGAGAGCCTTAAGCCGTCGGATCTCCCCTTGCACGGATCGGACGTGCCTGACGGCCTCGATGACATCCCCGGTGCCCGCCTCGCCCTTGGTGCGGATCATCGCCGCGCCTTCCGCCACGCGCCGGAGCGCCTCCCCCAAGTTGCGGCATCCGCAGACGAACGGCACGGCGAAGCGGTGCTTGTTGATGTGATTCACGTCGTCGGCGGGCGTGAGCACCTCCGATTCGTCGATGTAGTCGACGCCGATCGCCTCGAGGATCTGCGCCTCGACGAAGTGCCCGATGCGCGCCTGATAAGGGGCGGGAGTAACGGGATCGAGAAAACTGTTAAGAGCAGATCAAATCGGCAGAAATAAACAAGTAGAGGAAACGGCCAAGGGAAGGGGAAGGGGAAGGCGAAAGGGAAGGACAGGGGACAGGGGAAGCGAAGGAGGGAATTCGAGGTCCGTGTCGCTGTATACGGGGATAAGCTCAAGACAGTGTGCCTCGACGAAATAACCGATGTGGGTCTAGTGACAGCGTCGGTAGGGAAAGCGGAAGATGGAAAGACCGGGGGGCGACGGGGGGAAGGGGAGGGGGGAACGAAAATGGAGAACCGTTGACGTGGGTCACGAAATACAGAGCGCGAGCAGGTCGGAATTGCACATCGTAGCAGTCCGTGCCGATCGCCTCGAGAATTCGGACACTTTAGCTTTTCGAATCTTATGACCAAAGCGATCCGACACCAGCATTACTGATCCGTTTCCCAATGGCGTCCAGAAAAGTGAAGTATTCGCGTGCAAAAAACCATTCGCGGAAATTGCGGTAAACGCGAAGCGCACCTTAGCCATGACAGGAATGGTGACGGCCTTCTTGATCTCCTTGATCATCTCCGGATCGCTCATGCGCGCCACGCCACCTTGCGCGCGAATATCCGCCGGCACCCGCTCCAGAGCCATAACTGTGCAGGCGCACGGCAGACAAAGAAGGAGGATTGGTGAGAGGGCAGAGAGCAGGGAACGAGGGAGGCGAACAGAGAGCAGAGAGCGGTCGCCGCAGAAGTCGATAACTGCGATTCAAAAGATCCTGGATCCTACCAGCCGGCCAAGTGAGCAAGGTCTCTTGAGATGACGCCGCCAGCGGCACAGCATGACCGAGGCGCGCTTCGATCGTCGCAGATCAGGAGCAGCCGGATGTGGCGGACGGAGTAAAACTGCGATCTTCCGTCACAGCATGAGATCCGCGACACGGGAACTCATACAAACAACCCACGAGACGCGTGCGGAACCAGCAAGCAGCAACAGATAGATCTCTACGGGGCATCTGTCCTTATTGCGTCGGCCCAACCAATGTACCTGCGACGGCGCCAGCCTCCTCCGCGATGCGCGCTTGCTCCACATTGACCACGTCCATGATCACGCCGCCTTTGAGCATCTGAGCCAGGCCCGCCTTCACCGAAAACGTCCCCGCGCCGCCCGCCTCCGCCGCGCCATTGTAGGTCGCGACGACCCCGTTTCCGCTTCCGCTCATGGTGGCGTGCGTGCTTGCGGATCTGTGGTGATTGGATCAGAGTTGAGTTCGTCGAAGCGACGGACTTGGTTCGAGCGAGGAGGAACGGTTAGGAGCTAAGGCAGAGGAGGACGTAGAGGATGTTGGGAGCAACGAGATGCTCTGCTGATGCGAACGTTGCTGGACAAAAAGAGAAAATGTACTTTGCTACGAATGAGTTTTGAACTTCTGAGAGAGTTTTGAGGAAGGGTAATTTCAAGAGGTTTTAGGGCAACAAACCAAAGCAACACAGGCGCGCGCAGAGATTAGGATCTGTGGAAGAAAGGGGGGAACCTAGAGATGATGGGGCGGAAGGGCAGGGGAAACACGCTGGCGCGCGGAGAAAAGGCGGACATGAGCACAATGATAAGGGGGAGAGCGGGGAGAGCCTTGTGTGGATTTTGGAGGGGGGGATTGTACAGCCTAGAGATTTGTCCCTTAGGAGCGGGTTCTTGGGAGTGTCGGAGGATGTGGTGAGGTGGGGTGGGGTTGAGAGGGATTAGTTACACTAAAGGATGTTTCTTGCACGCAATCAAGGGAATGGGGGAAATGTGACAATGCGGTGCGTGTGTGGATGTACGTTTGTGACTACGTCGAGGCCCGCCATGCAGCCACGATTGGTCGAGTGTCTCCAAGCCCTCGGTTTTGGAGTAACAGAACGAGCTGTTGACGTGGCAGCGGCGGAATGGTGCCAGGAGAGGCTGACGCAGCCCAAAATGTTCTCCCGGCGCGGCAGAACAAGCCAGATGCTGCATGAGGGGGCAGGCCTCCACGTTGCGATGGGACTTCCTGTGCTGCTGGCAGCGGCTCTTGAAAGGCCACAGATCGACGTGGCCTGCGCGGGCAGAGGCGCGCCTGCGGTTCATGAATGGTGCCACGCAATCACACATCTGTCAAGGCTCCATTCTCGTTTGTATCAAAACTCTTACGTGCCTTGTTGAGAAAGAGACAAAACCTTACTAAGTTGCAAAATTATGGAAGCAAGAAAGAAACTCAATGGAATTTCTACGAGGAGAACAAAACACTTGCATTCATGAAGCATCCTCCTCATTAGCATCATCCTCCAAGTCAATCTCATTTGGATCAAGGGCTTTATACGCACTTGCATCTTTATCTCTATTTTCTTGCTCCCCCTGCTCGCCACCAATCTCACCCTCATGTCCATTTTGCCAACTGCTTCCTCCCGGTTCCCTTTCCAGTGCACCATCATCTGCATCTCCATCAGCAGGTATGCAGTCAGGGTCCTCAAACGTGTCTGGAGGGCAAGAGTCACTGTTCCATATAGCTACATCGCCCAAGCAAAATATGGCAAAACAAAGAGAGGAAGACACAACTAATTTGGAACAAGGGAAACATGCAAAATAAGGTAAAACAAAGCGAGGAATCGATTCGGAACCAAAAACAAGCAGGGTCTACAAATCAAAACAGGTTGATGATGAACAGATGGAGGAAAAGGTTGCAAGTGACATGAAAACAAGGCGTAGTGGTGGCGGCAGGTAAATATCTTGACGAGGAAAGCACACATCAATCAGATCGGATCAGCATTGTTTCGACATACTGGGACTGGCAGCAGCGGCTGGCGGAGGTGCTGGGGAGGGCGAGGGGGCTCCCCCCCGGAGAAAGGTGGAGTGAGGGAGATCCAAGAGGTCGAGAAACGCTGCTGTTTGTGGGTTGAGGGTTGTCGCTGGTACACGGTGGACGGCGGAGGGGGTCGGGAAGGGGAGCGGGAACGGAAGGGAAGGAGGGGGGAGAAGGGGAAGAAGGTGTTGGGGAGGGGGGGGTAAGGGGGAAGAAGGTTGAAAGAGAAGCCTGGAATAGTCAAGCAGTAGTTGGAGCTGCAAGCAATAGTCAAGAGAACATGTGAGGCTTACGGAAAGATGGAAGTTGTAGCACCAATAGACACACACATCACCCCCCCGCCCGCCCCTACCAGCAACGATAGCCACCGAGGCGAGAAGGAGCATCCAAAGAGAGTTAGGCAGAGGTGTGCAGAAGGCGGGGTGACACGGGGGAGTGGTGGACAATCAAGCAAAAGCACTGCCCCTCCCTTGTACTTGTACTCCCCCCCACGTGTGTCCATCCACACACCTGAACGCAAGCACACACCCACACACCTGAACGCAAGCACACACCCACACACCTGAACGCAAGCACACACCCACACACCTGAACGCAAGCACACACCCACACACCTGAACGCAAGCACACACCCACACACCTGAACGCAAGCACACACCCACACACCTGAACGCAAGCACACACCCACACACCTGAACGCAAGCACACACCCACACGCGCACTCATGCACACATGCACACACACCCAGATATCCACATGCACACACACACCCACCCGCCCACACACACCCGCCCACGCACCGACCCAAACACACCCCCCACAGCAAGAAGCAACGAGCGTACATGAGAACGTGGGCATGCGCGCATGCGGCCGGTCAGGGTCATGCGGCGGAGCAGTGGGAGAGAAGTTGGCGGGGATGGCCGCACCACCAGGCTGCTGGGAGAGGCGCTGCGCCACCCAGTCTAGGTGCGGTTGCACTGCCACCCCCCCTGGACTGATGTGGGCGGTTGTGGGATGGGTGGGAGTTGAAAAACATGGAGGGGAGGGATGTGAGACGGAGAAGTGGGCTGCTGGGAGAGGCGGTGTGCCACCGAGTCTAGATGTGGCTGCACTGCCACCCCCCCTGGACTGATGTGGGCGGTGGTTTAATGGGTGGGTGGGGGTTGGGGAGGGGAGGGATGTGAGAAGGAGAAATGGGTTGCTGGAAGAGACGCTGCGCCACCGAGTCTAGGTGCGGCTGCACTGCCACCCCCCGTGGACTGATGCGGGCGGTGGTGGGTGGGATGAGTGGGGGGTGGGGAGGTGAGGGATGTGAGCAACAGAAGTGGGCTGCTGGAAGAGGCGGTGTGCCACGAGTCTAGATGTGGCTGCACTGCCACCCCCGTGGGCTGATGTGGGCAGTGAGAATGTGGTGATGGGTGAGTGTGGAGAGGGGAGGGGAGGGGAATGAGGGGGGGACGGGAGGGGAGTGGGGATGGGACGGAAAGAAGGTGGGATGCTGGGAAGGGAAAGGACGTGGGAGGGGCAAGTAGGTGGAGAGGTTGGGTATGGGAGGGGTATGAGAGGTAAAATGTGGGCTTCTGGGAGAGAGAGGGTGGATGGACCATTTCTTTCCTGATGGAAAGAAGGGAATCAAACGGTGCAGCAAAATTGGTTCAGACTTAGGAATGGGGGAGAGACGAGAAGGGAGGGATGAGATGGCGAGGAGAAAGGGGCGATGATGATAAAACACACGCGTTGCATGCGAGTGGATTTTCCAGGTCGAACGATATCAAGGATCAGCCATAATGCGTCTGAAAGCACACTACCAGACCAAGCATAGGATCAACAACGATTTCTCAAAGTAACCAGCCTCGTGCAGTGCCTGCCTTTCGGGTAGACGGCTTCCGCATTTGAGGCGCCTCAAAAGGCCTCAAGAGATTTGAGGCGCCGCAAAAGCCAAATCCCCATATAACTCCTGCAGTGCCTGCCTTACGGGTAGACGGCTCCCGCATGAGAGAGCGGCAGGTAGGGCGCATAGGCCCGCGTGACAGCGAGCCACTGCGGGTCATACTCCAGCACTGGTGGTGCTGCTGCTGCAGAGCCGTGTTGAACAGCAGCTTGCGAGGAGGAAAGGTGCGGAAAATCAATCACCTGGGTGTGCGTGTATAAGGCAGGGGTTGGTTGGGGAGGGGATGGAGGGTTGTTGTACTGTGTGTGTTATTATTTCAGAGGAGGGAGGCTTCAAATGAGATAGACACGGTAGAGACAGGCGGGCAGTGGGTGGTAGAGTGCAGGCAATGGTGGGCTTTCCAAAGTCTCAGGGAGAATTTATGGTGGCGGGGGTGAGGGTGGGGGTGGTGAATCACATTGGGGATCAGTCAGGTTTAGAGGGGTAGTGGTGGGCTTTGCAGTGTGATGTAAAGTTCATACTTGTAGGAACTGCCTGCCAGGCAGACACTTGTCCAAGGCCAAGAAGCGAGTCACGCCCGACGATGACGAGGAGGAGGATAAGGATACACCGGCAGCAGCAGGAGAAGCAGCAGCAGCAGCAGAATGCTTAACCAGCGCGGAGAACTTCACGTGCAGGTGTGCAGAGAACCAGTAGGATGGGCGCAGAGTGTGCAGCAGTGTCTCCCCTGCAGGGCTGCCTAGCGCATTCCGCTCCACTTCCCCGCGAAAGAAAGGCTTGGTGCGCAGCAGAGACGCGGTGTCCCCGTGCTGCTCCACCCCGCGCGGCCAGTCGTGTGAGAGAAAGGCGTCCATGTGGGCGGATGGGAGGGACTCGTTGACGGAGGAGGAGAGGGAGGAGGGGAGGGATGCGAGGGCGGCGAGGCGGGTCACATCGTATTCTCGCACGTGGTAGATGGAGCGCATTTGGGAGTTGTCGTAGGGGGCGCGCTCGTAGTGGCCTGGAGGGAGGGAAGGGGGAGCAGGCAAGTAACGAGAGTGAGTTTTAAGTTGACTCTAAGAAAGTATTCGCGCACGTGGTAGATGGAGCGCAGCTGCGAGTCTTTGTACGGGGCGCGCTCGTAGTGCCGCGTTGGCGGCGGGGGGACACGAAGGGGAAGCAGCAAGTAAGAGGCTGCTACATTCGAGGTGCCTCAAAAAGTATTCGCGCACGTGGTAGATGGAGTGCAGCTGGGAGTTGTCGTACGGGGCGTGCTCGTAGTGGCCTGCGTTGGTGGGAGTGACAGGGGGAAGGCGGGCGGGCAAGTAGCAGGGCGAATTTCGAGTTGACTCAAAGCAAGTATTCGCGCACGTGGTAGATGGAGCGCAGCTGCGAGTCGTTGTAGGGGGTCGCGCTCGTAGTGGCCTGTGTTGGTGGGAGTGACAGTGGAGGGTGGTGAGCAGGAGGGTGAGGGGACAGAAGGAACGAGGAGGAAGGCTGTGAGAGGAACGGGGAGGGGCGAGTGGGGGGGAAG